CCACCCGCGACGGATGGATACCAGAGGCGATGAGCCATTCTCTCACAGCCTCGACAGCCTCTTCGGATGGCTGAAAGATGTCGTGCACCTCGTCCGCCGACCAGTACTGACCGTACTTGGAAGACTTGGGGTCCGACCTGCGCAGTATTCATATCAGTATGCTTCATTCTTCAAGGGCCTTCATTGATTCAAGGACCGATTCAATAGCAGAAGGGAATGTAGGTTGAGACTCACACTTCCATCAGGAAATCGTAACCCTTGTCCAAGTTGTTCTGGGCAAGGCCAATGCGCACAGGGAGGACCGCATCGCTCTCAACGCGCGCACCCTTCACCCAATCGGATGCGGGCTTGTGACGTTTCTCGTGCAGAACATGCTTGATGGACGTCGGAATGGCATCGGACAAGGCCGCAATAGCCAGAGCCAGGGCAAGCTGACGGACCAACATGTTGGGATTTAATCTGCGCGATTGCAACCAGACACAATGGCTGATGGCCGACAGGTCGCGACGGCAGATTTAAATAACAACGCCGTAGAGCTCCGGGAGTGGGCCCCTTGCAGTGAGGGACGATGCGAGAATTAATTGCGACATCCGACCTGCTGTTCTCACCGCCGCTAGTCATATATCGTCCATGGTTTGATTGGAGGAGAGGCAGGTTTGCCGTTGCGATGGTGCCTGGATGGACGGTGTCGAGGCGGTCTTGCGATTGCGGGGGTGTCCACCGCGTCTCCAGTTGCTGATAGGCACTGGTCAGCCCACGGAAACCTACCCTCTGCAGCTTATCGGCCGCGTCTCTCCATGGTCTTCCCACGCTATCGAGGAACTAATGCCGTCGCGTCGGTTAGTCCTGGTGTTATCGGGCACTAGCCGGGCGAGGATGGCAGCTATTCGTCGATGCCAAATTAGGGCCACCGGGGGAGCATCGGAGAACCGACTGAGCTGCCGTGATAAGCCTTTCGCCGGATACCACCGCGCTTCCGCCGGCCAGCTGATTTCTGTTTCTTATTCTCTGTGGTCCTAATCGCTCACCTTTTTGACGGGGCTGGTGAGTCTTTCGTTGGCTGAAAGGATAATCTAACACATTGCTGAGGCCTTTTCAAGATCGCCTATTGAGCTTGTTGAATGCCTAGCGGATACGCGGGTCGCCGCGGATAAAACGGCCGTGGCTACAAGACACGCGAGACCGACAGTATGCGTGTCTGAGACATGCAATATCTTTCAATCCTGTGTCGCCCACGGCTACGCCGATGAAAGAAAAATTCTGGAGATAAACCCAGTCCAGTGTCATTGTCACTGAGTCTCATGAAGCCTCGATTCTAGACACAACCGCCCGTCTTTGTCACAAGTCTAATTCGTTGCATCGTTTGAACTTAATCAGTATCAAGCAATTGCCTGGTAAACACACCCTGCGGATCCCATTCTCTCTTGAGCTGTCGAAGCTTTTTTAGCCGAGCCTCCCCCCGATACCGTCGCTGGATAGGACCCGTCCGAGTCGCATTCTGGAAGTCGATGTACTGTGTTTCGTCCGGGCCCCGCATCAGAGCAACGCATTCATCGTTGTATTCGTCCACCTTGCGTCTGTTCTTCTCATCCGTATGCCAGATAATGTTGACTCTGGAATACGTCCACAATTAGCGTCGCAACGTCAGAAGGAGCGAAGAAAAACCTACTGCCAGTAGCGGACATCATGCGATGACATGGCAGACTCCTTCTCGGGCGTCTTAACCGCTCGTGAGTCCCACTGTAAGTTGAAAGCTGAGTTTATGGCATCGGGACACTCATGGATCAATTTCTTCCAGACTTCAATGGCCTGCACGAATCCGTCGATGCGAAATTCATGCAAGCCCACGATACCAAACCTCTTGAAGTCACCTTTGGCGCATAGAGCTTCTCGCTCATCATTGACGTTCTGGATAGGCAGATCTCTGCCCATGGTAGCGGTTGGCTGAAGGTCATACAAAGCCTTAAACGGCACCTCCGGGGCCTCATCGCCGGTATAACGGGCGGAAATCACCAGAGATGGAACGCGCGCGGGTGGCGGGGCAATGATCATCATGAGGCCCGCCGTCGCGTGTTGGGGATCATCCATGATTTGCTTCATGACTCGAGCCACCTCCACCGCCCGATCAAGTGGGAAGATAAAGGCCCCCACCCATATCAAGCCCAGTCGTTTCCGCAGTAGCGACAAGGGGTGCGCACGAACCGTAAGCTGAGTGACTAGGCCGAAGAATTGACCAGCTCCTTTCAATGCCCAGAGCAGATCCGGGTGCGTCCCCTCTGTAACTTCGATCAGCTCCCCCTTTGCTGTGATTACACGCGCTGCCAAAATCTGATCCGATCCGAAGCCGGTGATGGAATTGGTGATCGAGCCCCCGCCACCAAGCAGGTACGGGATGGCACCAACGCTGTTGCCATTCCCGAGTGCTGTGTGAATTGACCGTGTTAGAATTGAATTCAGATAGGTCCAATTGAGCAATAATAAATGGTTCATATAGTATACCTGTGAAAAAACCCGCTTCTGCTAGACGCACAGACACTTCCTTGGCCAAAACACCGCCAATCACGGTTGCAGTTCGCGCACCCGCATCAACTCGAACTTCAGAATACAAACTGAGATCAATAATGATTCCCTCTGATCCAATGGTTGACCAGGGACTATGACCGCCGCTTTTCGGCACGAATGGAATGCTTGACTTGAGAGCCCATTGCACCTATGCCCAGTGTTAATGGTTGATCTCAGCGTCCGTGTACTTGTAAGGCTCATCTTACCGTCTTCAAACAGGCATCCTCTGTGCGAGGAAGAACAATGGCAGCCGGAACTTTCCGGTCGATATCAGTCCATCGAGCTAAGCGTTGCTGAAACCGTGCATCATTCGGGTCGTGCAAAATCTCACAGTCGGCGGCCACGGCGCCTTGGAGAACTGGAATTTGAGACAGGACGTGGTCGGACATGGTCATGCGGTGGCTTCACAACCTCCAAGATAAGTTGATATGTGGTAGTTCATTTGATGGAGGGGTACGAGGGTCGACTTGGATGTAGATGTAGGCAGATCCCTCCAGCAGCTTGGTAAGCTTGGGGGCCAAGACCCACGTCAGCTTGCCTTGCTAAGCCGTAAGCTTACTGAGAAGTGACAAAATACCCATCACTCATGGCGCCTCTTTCCAGCGTTTCTACCCCCATGTCGACAAAGAACATAGCGTTTAGACTGATATCGTGGGGTTGTATTGTAGCAAGGGTTGTCGATCTCGGTCAGAGGGACGTCATAAGGCAACCCATGTTGAGGTCCGAACACGAGTCCAACGACAACCATGTCACGATCTAGATTAGACGCAGCATCTATTATCGATTAGATTAGAGCTAAATTGTGCAGGTACGACCAGGGTAGTGAGATATCATGCTGTCAGCAACTGCAGGTTCTCGGCTGACACTAACCGGTCCCCCACCAAGACTGGCTTTGGACGCGGGGTGTCAGACGGAGAGCAGAAGTTTCAGAAGGGTGAAAGAGACACCCGCGCAAGTGCCTGTAGCTAAGCAATGACAATCGTGATAATTACATATACTCGGATGCTAGTGAAGTAGATGGATAATAGGAGAAGATTAGTTAAAAAGGAGCGAGTCGATGGGATGCCGGTTTGGGGGCAGGAATGGGTGGGATGGCCCGATTCGGCCTGTTGGATGCCTTATGGATGCCTTGCGCTTCTACTTTCTTTCTCTCATCCTTCATGTTTCTTCGAATAATTATATGCATCTATAAGTTTGAAGTTGTAATATTATTCAGAGCGAAATATTTCCCGAGGCGCACATGAACTTCCATCAAGACGAAAATCCGTGAGGTCTCAGGGAGTGAGCCTTTGAAATACTCACTCACCTTACAACAGGGAGCAGGTATGTACTGAGGACATCTCAAGTCATCTTCTGATCTAGGTTACTACTTAATCAATCACCATATTAAATCTTGATGTAATAAGGTTGTTGGGCCTGTCCATCATTAAGAGAAGTTGTTTTCAGTGTCAAGCCCCAGTTTCTGGCCTTTACCCAACCTACCGTTTACTCAGTAGTACATGCGATGACGTTCTTACCCAGCTCGAATATTTGATTTATTATCCAGTCGCTCGTGACTATGATATAAATAAAAAGGGCAATATGTTCAGTCTCTCTGCAGATCTGCAGGATCATTAAATCTCCATTTCACCTTCCTTTATTGGTGAGGTTATAAGAAGGCAGTCAGGTGAGCACAAGTTCAACTATTATCGAGCGGAACGGACATGGAAATGTGAAGAGCCCATGCTATGCCTCAGCCCTTTCCTCGCAAGATCCCTTCCTCTTCAAAGCGTCTACCCTACTGCAGCAATGGCCAGCTCCATCGGTTAATTTCCTCTAATGGCTTACCCGCCAGGGCGGGGCATGCATGCACCCTAGTAAGTAGCTTCAGCACGACCGCCCACGTCATTGCACGAAGAGAAGATCAGCAGATACAACCCCCGCTCGGAGAACACTCTGCAGTGACCTGATTCTTCTATTTTCTTTACCAATCACCCTATCAAGGAATCAATATCTGTTGTCGGGTGAGTAGTTAGCCGGCCAGCAGTCATAGAATATCGTGTGCACTGTCTTCGGTTAACAAGATAGACTCGGAGGCAAACGGATTTAGCCAGTAAGTAGCTACTAGAGCGTGCAAGATCATTGTGACCTGCAGTTGATGCTGAAGTAATCCAAGACAGGAGAAACTTTAAGATCCATAGGCGGATAATTTCTCCCCGCAAATATCGCTCAGGCACTCCTCCCCAGTCGGTTATATTGCAACGCGTGTTGCGTAGACCGACACATGTTTGTCTTGAATTTCCCCGCCTGAAGAACCTGACAATCAAGGCTTATCCACGGACATGTCCGCGAATTGCAGACAACCGGTCCGGAAAAGGCTTTGCGCTACTGTTCTTATTGGCGACATCCTCAGGAACTGGCTTTGATCATGCGGTCATCATCAGGGGCTTCGGGGATGTGCATTCACTATGCAGAATTCCGGGAAGTCGCATGTAACGCGTTTATATAAAGGGTCCTTGCAGAACACCCCGAGGGGACAAATCGAGCTAACTTCAAGCAGCACCTAGTACAATGCATCTTGGTAACAGCTTGAGATTGCTCTGCCTCGCAGCACCAGGCCTCGTCGCCTCAATTTCTTCTTCTACTCTATCCACCTCAGGTCGATGGATTGTCGACACCGACGGGAACAATGTCACCTATGCGGGGGTCAACTGGCCCGGTGCTGAGGTGGCCATGTTGCCTGAAGGGCTGCAGTATCAATCCATCGAGTACATCGTCGGCAAGATCAAGGATCTAGGCATGAATGTCATTCGCCTTACCTTTGCTATCGAAATGATCGATGACATTTACGAGACCGGAGCGGACATACCGATTAAAACGTCCTTGATCAACGCTCTGGGCGAAACAAACGGAACCAAAATCTACGACGATATCGTCAGTAACAACCCACAGTTTGGGGAAAATACGACACGACTGGAGGTAAGCCGCATCTCTCAGAACTCATTACATTCAATTTTAAAGGTGTCTAGGTATACGACGCAGTAGCCGAAGAATGCTACAACCAAGGTATCTACGTGCATCTAGACAACCATGTCTCCAAAGCAAGTTGGTGCTGCTCGACTACTGATGGAAACGCCTGGTTCGGAGATACTTACTTCAACGTAAGCAACTGGCACAGAGGTTGGAAGTATATGGCCGAGCATGTAAGCTATATACCCGTCCCATCTTCAGCCTTCAAGCCTAACGCAAGTCCGATACAGGTCAAATCCCTGCCCGCCGTAAAAAGCATCGGCATGCGCAACGAACTTCGCAGCCCTGACGACAACACGACACTTGCAGACGACACGTACAACTGGGAAACATGGTACAGCAACATGGTCGAGAACGCGAACCAAGTTCATTCCGTCAATTCAGACCTACTCCTCTTCTTCTCCGGTCTCAACTACGATGTCACACTCTCACCGATACCGACGGCCTCAGACCTCGGTGACGGCACCGTCTTCAAGAAGAGCGATTTCGACTTTGAAGATAAAATCGTACTAGAGCTTCACAACTATGACTCATCTGCTACAAGCTGCAGTAGTCTATCGTCTAGCTTGTTGAGCGATGGCTTCGATGCCCTAGAGACGGACGACTCGAGCATCGTAAATGTGCTTCCGGTCGTGATGACAGAGTTCGGGTACGAGCAAGATGATTCCACCTATACGGAAGTATATGCCTCATGCCTGAGAGAATGGCTGCTCAGTGTTCATGCCGGGTGGATGATTTGGGTGCTTTCGGGCAGTTATTACATCCGACAGGGAACACAGGATTATGATGAAACTTGGGGTAAGTTGATCTTTTTCCATTTATGAAGCGGACAGTTCGTGATGAGTGACTAACTATCATCACTAGGTCTTCTAGATCATACGTGGTATGGCTGGCGATCAACCGAGGCAATTGATAATGGCATCATTCCTATGGTCAACGCGAGTCTGGGATAGGCTTGGGATACTGACTGACCTCGTCGGTATATCGGTGTCCATGTAACGGAGGGCTTTTAACTTGGTCCTTCGAGCGTCCAGCAATAGTAATCTACTGATTACCCATTCGCTCTACACAATCAGCTTTTTTCGAATATTAGATTCGCAAGGTACTGCACAATTACATATATTGTAAGGCCTGGTATCAAGTACCTCTGACATCGTATAACTTCAGAGCCGAACCGACTTCACTAGATCAGAATATTTCAATATCGATAAACGGTGCTTTCCAAGGAATATTTCCCATAATCTTTCTTCATATTTGTGTTCTCGAGATAGGCGTGTGATTGGCTCATCCAGCACGTCAATAATTGTGAAGCAAATGATGCTAATTGGAAAAGGTTACAATGGGTGTCAGGTTTGCGCTTCATATGGATATAATAATAAATTGATAATAATCTAGAAACAGAAACCTAAGTAATACATATTTGCACAATTTGAAATACCGGTCTTAGCAACTGTTCCAAACGCTGAATAGCAGGCTATCATCAATAAGCCAAGAGCACCAGATCCCGCAATCGCCAAATCCGTTACTCATCCATTGCCTATTGCTGACAGACCGTGGCTCAGTTAATGTAGCACTTGACAGACTGGACACGGTTGGAGGAGATGCTGTCGCTTCCAGGGGACTGGATGTCGCCAGTGCCACCGCCGTTGCAGCGGTCGGACCTACAGAGCAAGAAAGAAGCACAAGTCAGCCAGGGATGTCAGCATCATAATACAAAGGAAGAATAACATACTCCCAGAAGCGGCAACGGTATCCCCGGGGGATGGAGACCGAGTGGACATTGTCGTTGACTGGCTTGTCTTCCAGATTGACTAGATGCAATCAAAAGATCAGTTATGAAGGCGGACAAGAGAAAAGAACGGTGTTGGACAATTGCCACATACAGCAGTCATGCTGGGTCTTGATGGAAATCTTGGTGCAGGTTCCTCCCAAGTTCTGTCCGTCGCAGGCCTTGATCTCGATGGTGTCTTGTCTCTGCTCGAGAGCGCCGGGAGCGGCAATGGCGCCGGTGATGGCGGTGGCGAGCATCAGGATGGTAGCAGTGAATTGCATTTTGAATGATTGGGATAGACGAGATAGTCTTGATAGATTTGAATAGATAGAGAAGATTGTTGTTAGAGAAGCTGTTTGTTGTTGCTGATGATGAGCAGGATACTCCATGCCAGGACGCTGTATTTATACCTTTTCCTAGGACTTCTATCTCAAGACTCCAAGACTCATCCAACTCTACATATCGTACAGAAACCAACAATATGCCTCCATCCTGGGGCCAATTCTGCTTTGTGAGCCTTGAAAATGTGTATGAATCGTAGGATAGCTAACGATGGGCTTCTTTTACTGGTCTCTTCGTTTGGCCTCCCTCATCCGGCCCCAGCATCTGCATCACAATCCTGGTCTGTGATGGCGCAGCATGAATAGACCGACCAGCCAGAATGTAACATTAGGATTCCTTCAGCTTTCTTCCCTGCCATTGACACCTGCCAAGGTACTCCGCCTCCAGTTATTCTCTTTGTGCAGTGTGGGGGGCTAGAGTCCTAACATCTAGAGATGAAGCGCCCCACAAAGTCAGCTCATCAATGCAGCCGGGTACCTGAATCTAGAAGCTTTGAAGCATAGATGAGAGCCTTGTGTCGCAACGCATCTACTGCATTGGGTAAATGTGCTGCTCTTATTATCCACAAGGGGCTAACATAAGTCTCGGCACATTCCCACGTTTCATGTGCCACTTGATGATGGGCCGACGCGCCACATCCAGATTCCATGGGGCCTGGAGAACATTATCAGACTTTTAAGCAGTACTTGACAGAAACAAAGCCCAGGAAAAGTACAATCGAAGTGTTTTCTAAGCCCAACACAGTACCTGACCTAATAATACTTAGAGAAAACATTATTCATTGTTCCTTGACGGGAACAAAAAGGTAACAGAGTAGATTTCGAAGCTGCAGTTTAGGCAGCATAACACATGTAACCACGCAGTGCTACTAAAGCCTTTGGGCCCCATTGTCGGCATATGACGAATGATGAAGCCCGAAAGGATTCTTCAGGATTTCTTCCTCGCCCCACAACCTTGAAGCCAAGAAGGAAACTAACTTATTTAGGCTGTATATTTGACTGTTCCTGAGTGGATGATTGGCTTGCTCGGATACCTGGACCGTGCGTAAGCGGTGATTGCAGGCTGGTCGTAAACCCTCATACCTAAACAAGGTATGCTTCTTCTTGGCCTACATAGGGGTAGTGCTGACATATATGCATCAAAATGTAAGCAAGCCATATACAGGCGCTCTGTCAGTTACTAATCTGTCGATTGAGGGCTAATGTCTGTCTTGCAATTGAACCTTTAAACACGCAGGACAGAGCTTTGAGCATGCTCTGTCATCTATATACAAAATTGCTATAGTACAGTGTGGATAAAACTTAGGAAATCGCTCACTAGTTGAGAGTCTGGAGTATCATCCAGAATCGCCAACATAACTATCCACCATCTCGATGACACAGACTCAATGATAATCCTTTCTGTTCTTGTCTGTTTAGCCTGGAAGTTGCGAGCCAGTAATCTCGACATGAACGTCTTGGTCCCTGTGGCTGGGCTCTCAACTTCCTGATCCTTCGAAGGAATTGCCAAGCAAGGTCAACTTCAAGCCGTTCACCAATCTTTATTCTCCCTCGTTGTTGGCTATGTGAGAAGCCATGAAGGAACGATCATGCCATAAAAGTTCATCGAATCAGCTGGCTTACGGTTTCAGAAGGCATATATATTATGATCCGGATCATCTCCGCGTCATGTCGGTGTCTCATAACGGGGTCTCCAGTGTGTCCAGGTCGGCACTTTCTGAATGTGTTCGAGCAGAGAATTTTCTTATCTAACTCTTGGTGCTGAATACATCAGACTATCCGAGCCCCAAGTGAGCTTTTACAGTAGATACGCTTTTATAGTAGATACCTTTCGGGCTTCCTAGGCTCACTCTATGAATTGATCAAGTCTGTCACCCTTGTAAATTCTATGTCTTAAGCTCTATCTTTGGTATTAAAAAAGCAATCAGCACCTTCGTAGACAGATGCTCGTGGCCACAAAACGATACTCTTGACTATAAGTCTGTGACTGAGATAAGCTGTATCTTCGTTGGGATAATTCTGGTAATGTAAGAATACTGTGAGTTTAAAGTTAAGTGGATATACAACAGCTAGAAAATGAAGGTATATCTATTATGTGGAGAGAACCCCCTTGTAGAAAGCTTGGGGGTATTCTCAGTTGCTACCGGTTGATACTAGTAGTGGATTTGGCATTAGAGATGATAACCGATTCACACAATATCATGTCTTAAAGAATATGATATAATCCATAAGAATATTAGATTAAACCTTTCTTTCATAGGAAATATCATCAATCTCATCAACTTTAAGTCTCCGACTGGAACTTAGGGTGTAGTATTCTCAGATATGCCGGTAGCATATCCATAAAATATATATATATATATATATGTCCATCATAGTAGTGCCCAACTCCAGGGCTCCAAGTCCGTGCATGACGTCGAACTGAATGTCGGTCTATGTTAAGCAAATCCTTGAAATAAAGGTGGGAAATGAATACTTTCTTAAAGCTCTTCAATTGATTGGGTACATGACCTCGCAGAGGAATGGCTTCTCAATTGGATAAGTAACTGACAATCGCGTCGGCAACTCCATAGCGCCAAAACAGGCCGTAAAAAGTGTTCTGGTGATAGTGTGTAAATTATACATAGCATATAATCATTATTTCCCTTTCATGTTTCACTATTACTTATACCAAGATGATAAAGAGCCCATGAGTTCTGATATACTCAATCTTTGCCAAGCGCGGCGACTTGAGACGGCCAGCTCGGTCGGAGATAATTTTGCAATACTCGGTAGCTGCTCCGCTCGTTCTGTTCCGCAAATGACTCGCGAGCTCGTCGGCCCCCAATGATCTTTTGCGTTCTTAATGTTGAGACTGGGATATTTATGCTATTTCCAGATGAATGTAAGAATATCTGATTGGGTATCTTATGAGCCGTTTATAATATTATTATCGCGTTATCCTGATCCCCTCAACCCCCAAAACGCCGTGAATGTTCGTAAACCAAAAGATACCAAATCATTGAACAACAACAGTAGGCACTTTTGACCAGTCGCGACACATTCCCAGAACAGTCCGACAGAATTTGCCGTACTCGACTCTCACGTCGAAGGCCCTCCACGACCCCTGTGCCAGGTGCCTTAGGCGCGCGGATGGGTCGGTGATTGGCTTGGAGCCCATATTGCCATACGTGCCACGTCCCGGACTATATCGCCGTGTCAGTTCTTCTTCTACGCTTCTTTCAATGGAAGAGGCGATTAACATACCTGAACCCAGTAATTGGAAGAATAAGCACATCATCAACCAGCTTGCTCTTCCCCCCGTCCTTCAGACCTGACAGTGCATGCCAGCGTAAGCCAGCCACCTCTTCCAGTTTACTCCGCACGACGTCGGTGAAGGCAGCAGGTCCGGTAAGCGTGAGTGGATCAAGATTCATAAGCTCTTGTCGAGCAGCTCGTGATTGGAGTGATCCACCATAGCGGTTGGAGATATCTCCTATCGTTGCTGATAGCCGGTCGATGAAGGTCTGCAGGATAGGATGACCCGGGGCCCAGGCAAACGCCCACTGCGTAAGCTGCACGGGCTGCGAGTAGCCCATACGCCAGTAGCTATCGGACCCCTCAGGGCAATCAGCCTCGAGGCCGACAATCGCGCGTACCGGAGCGGTCGAGTTATAGGATGTGCCGGCCCGTGTATCGTTCCAGGCATGTAGATCGGTCGGGGTGATCCAGTCGGCAGGTTTGCGAAGCGGTTCGGTATCGATATCGCCATACTGTTCTGATTAGAACTATATTCGGAGTTTTGAAGTTGTTCCTGCACCTACCACGCCTCCAATCCATTTCGATATCACGATGCGAAACACATCTGATCGCTCAACATTGCGCGCCAGATGCGCATAGTGGCTCTCCAGGTCCGGCTCAAAGTGGTGAATAAATTGTTCCATTCCCTCGTCCGTCCACAAAAAGTAGGCCATCTCGCCTTCGGCAGTCTGAAGCCATCGCTCGGCGCTGTGACGGATGATTTGGGGCCAGGTGTCGATTCTTGTGTTCTTCCAGGTTTGATGTACGATCATGGGAATCGTTGAGTGAGGAAGGTACCCGTCTGGGGAAGCTCGGGCGGCGCTAAGAGCTAGCTCGGCCGCTTCGACAATATTCTTCGGGGGTGGTTTAGATGCGCTGGTCCATTTTGGCGGGATATACCATGCTGTAAGAGAACAATTGGGTCAGTCAGTCAGTTGTGTCCACAGAATTGTGAACGATCGCCTACCTCCTCCCTCGGTAGTGTGTGTGTGGACATGACGGTACAGTAGTGGGTACTGATCCTCAAGATCTATCGGCTTAGTATCGAACTTGGTACGTTGCTGGCAGATGCAAATCATTAACACCGCGCCGATAAGGGCGACGATGGCCAAACGCCGCAACCGAGTTGGTGCCATACCGTAGATTTATCACAGCATTTTCATCTTCCGGAAGACAGATGAGAGAGATATGTAGGATGATGAGGGGGAAAAGGGGCTCAGCCCCACGTGACGGTAGCCAGGCGCAGCCAGAAGAAGAAGCCTTGGAAAGTTCCGAATTACACTTTTGTGATTTTTTCAAAAACAGTTCACATGTATGGAGTACACTAGTACAAAGTAGTTGGTTACATGTCGAAAATATTGTGATGTGGCCCACACAGTGGGATCCGCCATAGTTTTGGGGCTACCGCTTCCCCCTCTAGGAAGGTATGAAGCCATTCTACATGATCAAAACATTGATCTTCCTTACTTTCTCAGTGATCTGCTGGCTGGCAAAAGCATTGACTAGCCATCTATTTCAATCGTGAATGCGATTGCCTCTCTATAACAATCATACCGCAATAACAAGCCCTTGGAGACGGCCGCGATGGAAAGCGCGCCCGACAAACCGGCCCCCAACACCCACAGCACCCGTTGGAGCATAAGTAGACACGAATACGAACCCCCTGTCACAGAAGCAGCGGTCCTAGGCTGCTACTTTCGGTACCCCTCTCCATTAGTTGCTGGCGCAGCAAAAAAAAAAAAAAAACCTCTCTGCCACATCGCTGGTATGTTTCAGGGTTTCCCCTGCGTCAATTGGACGTTCCGAAGGGTTGTATCCGTGCAGCTCAGGTCAAGGGGTACAAAGGGCTGAGCAAGAGATTTCTCGATCGGGAAGAGCATGCGAGGCTACGCTAAACCTTATACAAGACATACTAACCTTGTGTGGCATAGTTGGTATCTTTTAATAACCAATTCACAGCCTGATGAAAGAAATCCTGATTCCTGATTGTGAGTGATCTTCAGTGCAAGGCTGTGACTTAGGGCTGTGTCGAAGGGATCAAATTAAATCTCCTTGAAACGCAAATGCCTGTTCCATCTCACGTCAGATGCAATTGCAGGAAATGTATTGGGGAACTGCAAAAATCTGAATTGAGATCCGCAGTGACAGAGGGACTGAAGAGCACAGGACGGTTTTGGGGACGAGGGACCAGCCTTGTCTGGCTTGGCGCACCCTTTTTTCTGTTGATCATGAGCCAAGCGCGGATCCAGGGTCATTATCACGTGATTGTAGCAAATCCTTGCTGCCGCTTACATAATTTAATATCTGGTACACGATTGGCCACTGCGTTCTGACGGAAATTTCCCGGCACGCTAGCAGAAAGCCAGCAAATAGTCCCGAATTAGCCAGTGCAATAGTGTCGGCATTTATGCTTATTCTGCCACAACATGAAAATCTCGATTCTGCACAATCATCACATTCATTGGGGGGTCATTCAGGGGTTGAACATCAGTCTTTGAAGCGGTTGGAATACTTTTTTGCGATGTGTTGTCAACAATTGCCATGCTGCCATCACACCCGGAAATTGAATGAGGAATTGTGACAGACTGTGCAGGATCAGTCGGTCCTTCTTGGCAGGGATTGTGCCTCTTGCTAACTGCTTCAGGTAGGAGCTGTGGTCCACGTCACCTGTGTCCTACGTAAGATATTGCAGTACTGCCCATGTCTGTGTATGCGGCCTCTTGTCAGCACGGGATATCTCTTTTCCGCTGCCAGCCCCGCGCCTAGATGATGAAGAAGTGATAAGATGATGGTCGATGTTGAAGGTTGTCACTACACGTATATATGGCGCTGCTCAATCATCCATTCATACTCATTTGTAAGATGAATTAATATGTATGAGTCGGGCTGGTTGAAGTATAGGATTAATATGCGGAAAAGTAATCAGTAGATAGTGGGGAATTCGACTAAGAAGATTGAGATGTCTCCTGGAAAGGTTGCAAGAGAGGCCATTCTGGGGAGATTGAGAGTGTTCCTGAGACTAGTAAACATCGCCGGCTTTAGCCTCGCAATACCCATAGATGCATCCTGCCATTGTACCGTTTCCCAACACAGTGAGAATTCTTCTTGCATTGTCCACCAGGTCTACCTTCGCAAACTCCACTGATACACGACAGACAACCATGGTCATAGTCACAGTCAGTATTATTAGTACGCCACTCGCCTACGATGTTTTTTGAGCCTCCGTTTTCTGTGCACCGTTACCGAGATGGTAGCGTCTCCATTCTTGAGCTAGTAGCGGCTGCGGTAGTTGCAATGCAACAACCAGATACATCCACTCCATGGTTGCGTATATTGTGATGAGCCATAATCTGAGAGTTTATTGGGATATATAGCATAGAACTGGGATTGTGTCATATGTTGGAACTTCACGAAAGATCGCGCTCAAGACCGTGCTGGATGAACTAAGAATCGATCCGGGTTCCAGCACTCTCTCTATAGTAACTGTGTACTAGTACAGCACTGAACTCGCCATCAGAAAATATGACAAGTTATATTAACTGTAAACTGCTAGAGGGTCTGTAGCGCGAACAAAGGTAGTGTACTTCTACCACTAGAGTTATTCTTACATGAGTTGCAATGCCGGAAGTATTATAAGCCATTAAAGCGAGTAGTGCAATGTCGGTTTGTGTATATGAATAGTAAGTCTAGGGAAGCGTACCACTATAGACAATGATAGTAGTATAGATCACTTGATCAAAGAAGCTAATTCCCCCTCACTGTGCTAGAATAGTCTTACTTCAACGTGGCGGCTGCCATCACCCTAAATGAAATAATAAGCTACCATGTGGGCCGCCGTGCAGCCAAGCGGGCCGAACACCTCGGGGAACAATACCGAGATAGCATACTGGCATCGGCGCAACACCCGAAACATTATCACTGAGTGCCCTAGCTATGGCCAACTCACGATATTTGAATATACCCCGCACTGAGTATGGCAAGCTATGACACTCTCCTAAGGTGCAATGTGCAAGTCATACGATTGCTTGGTCTTGCACCGTCATCATGTCATCTGCTGAGGAACCGAGCGTAGCATCGGTGTATACTTCGAAATGGAGAGATACTGTCAAGGATCTAGTCGCAGGAGCAGCGGGTGGTGTTGCGCAGGTGGTTATAGGTCAGTGTATTCCATAATCCTTATCTTGGAGATATTTGAGTGCTTGTGATTGTACTTACGGAATAACAGGACAACCATTTGGTAAGTGCCATCGTACTCTGTATAGATAGATTCCACCTCATCGCCATAGCTGCTATTCCAGGAAGCTGAACATTATCTAGACCTCGTCAAAGTTCGCCTCCAAACCCAGGGAGGCACAAACAACAATGCTCTCTATCTCACCCAGCAGATCTGGAAACGCGAAGGCCCGTTATCATTCTACAAGGTGCGCTGCTCACCACAACTCACCTATAACCATTCTAACCTTCTCCCTCACTCCAGGGCTCACTCGTCCCTTTACTGGGCGTCGGCGCCTGCGTAAGTCTCATCCCATATTATACTCACAACAAGCTCTCGCCCACTGATCGATAAAATAAACAGGTAAGCATCCAATTCGGCGCCTTCCACTACTTCCGCCAGCTCATTGAGCACCACAACAACCAAACGAGCCCAACCCTACCTACCACCCCCACCCTCCCTCAATTCTACCTCGCGGGCTGCTTCGCCGGCCTAACCAACAGCCTCATCTCCGGTCCGATCGAACACATCCGCATCCGCCTACAGACCCAACCCCACGGCTCCCTCGCCCTGTACACCGGTCCTTTCGACTGCGCGCGCAAGATAATCTCCCAAGCGGGAATCCTCCACGGGTTATACCGGGGCCAAGTGGCAACCCTTATCCGCGAAGGCCACGGCATCGGAGTATGGTTCGCGTCCTACGAGGGGTTCTTGGGCCTTGCGGCGCAGAGACAGGGCAAAAGGAGGGACGAGTTACCGAGTTGGCAGATTGCCATGTCTGGGGGGTTGGCGGGGGAGATGTTGTGGTTACTGAGTCATCCGGTGGATGTTAAGAGTAAGATGCAGAGTGATGGGTTTGGCAGGGACCAGAGGTATAAGGGGTTTAGGGAGGCTGTGAGGATGACTTGGAGAGGGGAGGGGTTGGGAGGGTTGTTCTTCGGGATTGGACCCGCGTTGGCGAGGGCGATGCCCGTTTCGGCGGGGACGTTTTCGGTGTGAGTTCTTCTCGCTTGTTCTTCTGGTTTGTTTATTGTGTGCTGATATTTGTGGTGTATAGGGTGGAGGTGGTGAGGAAGGTGTTGGTTTAGGTGGTTGATGGGGTGGAGATGGCTGGGTAGATTGATGGATGGATTTACGTGATGGAATGGAATGGACTCTATAGACTGCTGTATGAGATATAGCAGCAATAACCGCTAGATTAAAAACGATATATCGCGTCTAGTTAGCCAGGCAACATAGAGATATGTGTCTCAACATGAGATAATGCTTATATTACTATGTGGCACACTGCTTCTTTTATTTGCTCTTCAGACACTCGGCAATCGAGCGGCCCACGTACTCCACATTCTTATCATTGAGTCCAGCAATAGAAACTCGCGAGTTGCTTGCCATGTAGATATGGTATTGCACTGCATGGAATGGAGTTAGTACTAAATCGCGAAAGTCAACCTGGAAAACATACCCTTCAGATCCTCAACCACATCCGGTGCAAGACCCAAGAACCCAAACATTCCCGACTGGCGGAACAAATGATCCCAGTTACCAGGTGCACCTGCACAATCATTAGAGATTGCTCAAACGCATATCAAGATTCACTCACCATTGTTATTCAAGGAGTCGTACAGAGCCCTCCGCATCGCCCGGATCCGGCCACTCATGGTCTCGAGATCCTTGTACCAGAGCGCTTTGAGCTCATTATCCGACAAGATCGTAGCAGCAATTTTCGCTCCATAGGCGGGCGGATTCGAGACTTCGGACCGCTGCAGCATCTCCAGCACCGACTGCGTATTCGTCGCAGTTTTGTCTGTCCGAGCTACGAAGAATAGACAACCCGTGCGCTCTCCTAGCGAACTATTAGCCAAGGAACAAACGACAGCATCCCAAAAGGTAGAACAATCTCACCATACAGCCCCATATTCTTCGCAAAAGACAAACATACACCCGCCTCCAGGTCCAATTCATCAACGAAATACCGAATCGCAAAAGCGTCATCGTCAATATTTCCCGAATTGAAACCAAGGTACGCTGCATCGAAGAGAGGGAATAGTCCCTTTTCCTTGATGATACGACCGACCTCCTTCCATTGCTCTTTGCTAGGATCGCAGCCGGTCGGATTATGCGCGCACGCGTGAAGAATAACGACCGAGCCGGGTTCCGCCCGTCTTAGGGCAGAGTAGTAGCTGTCAATATCTAGGTTCTTCTGCGCGTCGTCGTAGTATCTGAAGGATTCGCAGGTGAATCCGAGAGAGGAGAAGACTTGGTGATGGTTCGACCATGTGGGACTGGGAATGTAAATCTTCGGTAAGGGGGCACGGCAGCTTCGGAGGAGTAGGCCTGCTAGATGAAGAGATCCGGTGCCGGAGAGGCCTTGACAGGATGCGAGCTTCGATGATCATGTCAGAGGATGCGATAGGTAAGATGTATATGCGAGTTTCTGTGACTGGGACCTACCCTAGATTGAATCCTCTCGTACAGTCCCGAGCCTAATGCCATCTTACTCGCCTCCTGGCGAAACGCCTGAAGACCCAAGATCGGCAGATACTCATGGTTCAGACCCTGTCCAACAAGCATCTCGCGACTCTTCCGCACCGAAGGCAGAACCCAGGGCTGTCCATTCTCATCGCGGTAGGTTCCTTGCCCGAGGTTCACTTTCTGGGGGAACGTGTCGGCATTGTACTCCGCAGTTAGAGCAAAGATGGCATCGGGAGGAATGAATGGGGCTGTCTCGAAGAAGGAAGAGTGAGTTGTTTCCGTCGGCGTGATTGTGCTGGATTGAGTTGTCATTATGCCGGATTCTTCTAGATGAACAATTGAGAAATTTGGGATAATGCCACACGTCAAATGATTATTTCTAGTGATGTGTTCTAAAGCTAAATAAATGTTCTTAAGCACTGCTCGCAAGGCCACTCGGCCTTGTCCTCCGAGATGTCGGCTCTCTCGCCCGAGTACATTTTTTGTCGCGTTATCCAAGCAAGCTGGGCGATAAAGGATGCGTCAAGATAGCGCGATCCGCTTATCAGGGATATTTATCGCGCAGTGGGTCAGACTGGATGTCAGTTTGACCATTAGTTGGGATTGAGTGGATGGCTTCGTGCGGGGAATGAGGGGTTTAACTCTATTCCAGTTAATTGAGGGGAGGCAACTTGAACCAACAAAGACTGCCTGATCATTATGCCTTGTCGCGGGCGGAAATTTGTCCGCGGAGGTTAGCAAAGCATTTGACTCATTGACTCCTGATTTGTTCCCGTCTGGGGAGGTGCATTGAGGGTGGTTACTCCAGATGCTGCTGTGTAATCAAACTGACGATAGGACAGACGCTATAATTTAGTGGAATTAAGCGACTACATCGGGTGTGCGTCAACATCCAGTGTAGAGCCATAACCTCTGCTATCGCCCCCAGTCTATAGCTCAGCCTATTATAGGAAGTAAAGCACTATGTATAGAAAAGCTGCCTGCTGTATGCTGTGCGTCGCCCCACGCGCGATTTCTAGCGCCAAATGGCTAGACCACAATACGACTAGTAGTGATTTGTCCCCCCAGTATTAAGCATCCTACACCTCATCAACCTCCTTCGTCTTCCACAACATCCATGCAGCTGCAATCATTCCCTTTAACACTACAGCAGTCCAAAGTGCGCCCGGCAATCCAACCTCACTCCTCGCCCACAAGCCACCCGTCACAATTCCAATCAACATCCCCACCACAGCCCCCAGCCGCCTCCACTCATCAGGAGCCTTAAGCACACTGCAAGAGGTCAGTGCCGGCGACGAGAACAAATCGCAATAGATACTAGTAAGCACAACACTCGTCAAACTACTACACTTCAACACGCGACTCGACACAGCCTGACCACTACTCTGGAACGCGACCAACGCCAACGGCACGCCAATCTTCCACGTCAGAGGATCGGTCTTGCCGGTGTGCTGCACGGTGACAATACTCGCAGCGGCCGCGACACAAGCCATCTGCAGGGAGAAGGACAGAGTCAGGGCGGACCGTTGGCGCGGCGTGTGAAATAGGCGGTGTAACACGGCGAAGAAAAAGGAGCCGATGCAGAAACTGCCGATCGAGATGAGCGATTTAAGCCACCGTTGACTCTCATCCACCCCGGCCAGCCCTAGTCCAAAGTATACCGTGTTGCCGGTCTGCATGCTCACAAAGGAACCCCAGATGAACACGGCAGAACTGTCCAGGAGGCCCGTGATGACGTAGCAGAAAATGAGGAGAAGGTCTGCTCGGTGCGGGTCGACTTCGGTGCGGAGATGGCGGCGCAGTTGGCTCAGGGGAGAAGGTTTGGAGCCAGGTCCCCGGTGGCCCAGAAGAGGATCGTTCTCATGGGCGGGAAATTCCTGGTAGTGCGCGGTTTCGTGCGCCATGGTCGAGAGTCAGGGTTGGTGGATGGTCTGTGTGTGTGTGTGTGTGTGGGGGGGGGAAACACGAGAGGGGAAGGGAAGAATTGGGGGGCCTGGGAGTGCCCGATCGCACAAACTAGGCAGCAAGTAATCTTCCAAATGAGTGTCTCAAATAGCGATGTGAATAGTGACAGCTAGCAGGGACTTAATAGTTCGTCCACGGTTAGGACGGCAGTGGGAGATGAAGGGGGGGAGAAAGAGTTGGAGATGAGTGGAGAAAGAAAGAGCGAAACTGTGATCCATCGCGCGTGACGTCGGCGCAGATCCAATGACGTTGAGTGCCCGGCCCTGTAGGGCTGAATGGTTGGGGCCAATGGACTCCCCCTTCTCCCCAAACAAGCATTGCTACCAAGCTTTGTTCGGGCTTTTTGACCCCAGACGAGGTTCCACCCTTGCGTCTGTTTCTTGCTTTCTGGTTTCCACGTCACTGGTTGCCCGGAAGAGTCGGATATGAGAGAATTTCCATTGATATCAAGCTTGCTCTGACCCACCCCCTCAGCCAAGGAGTATAAGAATGGCCCGGTTTCCACGGTCGCAAAAAAAGAGATAGAGATCTGGAGACCAAGCATTCTAGTAGATTGCAAAGATGCAGCTACCTCTGTCACCACGTCAGCTGTTGCTGAGTTTCGCGACCGTGGCCGCCCTCCTCCATCCCAGTCAGGGAGGCCCGGTCCCTAACGAAGCATACCAGCAACTATTGCAGATTCCCGCTTCATCCCCATCCATTTTCTTCCAGGACAAGCCATTCACCCCCGATCATCGCGACCCCTATGACCACAAGGTAGATGCGATCGGGGAAGGCCATGAACCCTTGCCCTGGCGCATGGGAGATGGAGCCACCATCATGGGACCCCGCAACAAGGACCGTGAGCGCCAGAACCCCGACATGCTCCGTCCCCCGAGCACAGACCATGGCAACATGCCCAACATGCGATGGAGCTTTGCAGACTCTCACATTCGCATCGAAGTAAGTCATTTGAGTTTCTCTGTATGACAAGCGATAAGGCTAATGCATTGCAGGAGGGCGGCTGGACACGTCAGACTACCGTACGCGAGCTGCCAACGAGCAAGGAGCTTGCTGGAGTGAACATGCGCCTGGATGAGGGTGTTATCCGCGAGCTGCACTGGCATCGGGAAGCAGAGTGGGCGTATGTGCTGGCCGGACGTGTACGAGTCACCGGCCTTGACCTGGAGGGGGGCAGCTTCATCGACGATCTGGAGGAGGGTGACCTCTGGTACTTCCCATCGGGTCATCCCCATTCCCTCCAGGGTCTCAGTCCCAATGGCACCGAGTTCTTACTGATCTTCGATGATGGGAACTTTTCCGAAGAGTCCACGTTCTTGTTGACCGACTGGATGGGTATGTCCACCGTGCTTGCTGCTATACAACCTCCCCAAAGAATATTAACAATGCCACACAACAGCACATACACCCAAGTCCGTTCTCGCTGGAAATTTTCGCATGCGCCCACAAACATTCAAGAACATTCCGCAATCTGAGAAGTACATCTTCCAGGGCTCCGTCCCGGAATCTATTCCCAAAGAGCTTCCCCGCAACTTCAAAGCATCCAAGCAGCGCTTCACGCATAAGATGCTCGCCCAGAAGCCCGAGCATACCTCTGGCGGAGAGGTGCGCATCACTGACTCGTCCAACTTTCCCATCTCTAAGACTGTCGCGGCCGCCCATCTGACTATCCGCCCGGGAGCTATCCGGGAGATGCACTGGCATCCCAATGCAGATGAATGGTCCTACTTCAAGCGCGGTCGGGCGCGAGTGACCATCTTCGCTGCTGAAGGTAACGCTCGTACGTTTGATTATGTAGCAGGAGATGTGGGCATTGTTCCTCGCAACATGGGTCATTTCATTGAGAACCTCAGTGATGACGAGGAGGTCGAGGTGTTGGAGATCTTCCGGGCGGACCGGTTCCGCGACTTCTCGTTGTTCCAGTGGATGGGAGAGACGCCACAACGGATGGTGGCAGAGCATGTGTTCAAGGATGATCCGGATGCTGCCAGGGAGTTCCTTAAGAGTGTGGAGAGTGGGGAGAAGGACCCGATCCGGAGCCCGAGTGACTAGACGAGGATCTACGCGTGTATTTGCTCTCGTGTTTTACAGGGAAAGGAGCAGCCATAGGCTGCCTGGCATTAATGACCATAGTTTAGTTGCTATTACTTATGATGTATTTAGGATCTCATTCAATCAAGGCAACGGGATATAATATTTAAAGACAAGAGTGGGCTACTTGTCTAAGAACTAGAATATCAAGCAAGCCGTGATCAGTAGGTGGGCTTGATCAACAACAACGACTGTAGCTGGGAGACATGGTTTACCTGCAGCAGCACATTGATTCCCACTCACCTCACCCACTAGCTAGGCAAGATGATCCTATCCTGAAGAGTCCATCAATAATATCCCGTCGACCGTCACTTGGACTAGAATCGCGATAGAATCGAAGTGTCTCGCTATAAAGTTCCGGATCACTTTGCGCCAGCTCTCGGGCATCTTCCATGATCACGTCGTAAACGCTAGTTTCGTGTAGTTCAAATGGCCCATCACCATTGTCGCGCAGATTGGTGTAGATACCATCTTTGGCGCGTCCATCTATATGGTATCGCGCCCAAATTGCATCACCATAGCGTTTTTCAGCGATGGCTGTGCAGTACCGAGATGCCCATGGCTCGACTAGTTGTCTTTTCGTCGTTTTGTTGATGACGTCTGCGATGGGAATGTCGAGGAATATCTGTTCAGGGAGGGAGGATTCCATAGTCACTGAAGATCTTTGCAGGGTATAGTATTCTTGTGATGTTTGAAAGGAATAAGAAAGGAAGTAAGAAATCTTGGGCCAAGATGACGCTGTGTAGCAGCCAGTGCAAGTATTTGCATTGAGGGTGGGAACAAGGAGTCATTTATGTTTCCGCAGATTAATACGTACACCCGCTTATTCGATTGGTGCCTGATAAGCGTCTCTGCCTAGACTCTCCTGGGCCCTGCACTCCTCAAGTTTGACACCTCTCTAACAGTTACTGGTCAAAGGATAAGCTATGTGGCACCTATAAGGCTAATTTCTTCTAGTTCTCACCATCGGTATAAGTGAGTGCAAAATCTAAGATGGCATGGGATCAGGCACTAACAATGCTCACCGGCACACTGATCGTTGGTGGCCAAGATGTGCCCGTCTTACCCCCTTGTAGCGTATCGATAGGTTTTGCTACCGCAAAGGGAGGTATTACGATTGAGCTAAATAGAGGGGGTTTCGCTTCGCCCTATGAAGCCTATTATCTACTAAAGGTTGGGGATAATAATAGATATGTACCTGGCTCATGTCGCAGTATTCTCGCTACATTCTTTCATACTATCAACCTCTGAAGTAACAACATCTTTGATAAGTACAATGTTGCAATATACCAAACAACCTTCAAGTAACCCCTACTGGTGCTCCGTTCATATTCCTTCAGCTGTCACGTGGTCCAAGGGTCATTGGCGAGGGACCGGCATTATTCAGGTCAAGACGTCCTATCCAGAACGTCAGTTCATCTTAATGGTCAAATAATCAGATGGGCATGTGGTTTTTAGAAAAGTCCGAGAAATGACATGGTGATTCTTACCTGCAAACCAGATATCTTTAGATCGAAAAAGCCGCATCACTAGCAACCAGTGGACTTCGAGCTCAAACACAGCTTGCGGTGCCCCGAGTTCTTAGGCGAGTAACCCGAAACATATACGGTTGAACAACAAGCTTTGGTTCGTGGGCAATCATCGTATATAAGTTTTCCAACCGCATGTGCCTTATACCACGTAAGATCGGCCCCACTGCCATGAGGCCCGACTCTGAACCAGCAACCACCATAGTAGTCAATTGTACGCGTTGAGCCAAGGTCTGTTTGGTACTGGTTCATGTCCTGAAGCAACTCGTAGCAAGAACTACGTGAGGCTAGATTTGAGCTGCTGCACTTGATGGTGTAGGTCACATCCCGCTCTTCGAGAGCCTTGAGGTCTTCACCTAGAACACCGATGATGATGTCGACAAGTTCCCGATGTCCGTCGTTCGAGCTAGTGGTGTTGTATCTGGTGGCCACTTGGTTGTAGAGTTCCGGATTGCCGAGCCTGTAGCCCGTGGCATCGTCAAGCAGCTCCTTTGTCACAGTAGTGTTGTCTGCCTCGATGATGTTGCCCACAGCTCGACCATCCATATGATACCGCGCCCATACGGCATCGCCGTAACGACTTTCACGTACGGCAGACACATAAGATTCACCCCACGGGGCTTGAATCCACGAACCTGCCGTTCCGTTTGCAACTTGATCAACATCAAGGTCCAGAAATAGCTCATCAGTCTCGCCACTGAATGCTCCCAGCACAATGGCGAATAGGCTAAGCCATTTCAAGATAGATTGGGAGTTGCCAGCCATGTTGAAGGTGATATTAGAAATGAAGTCTGATGAGCTGGAGAGGTGTATACCCTCTGGCTTATTTATACCTTTCATGATCCCATAATCACTAGTACGATGGAAGAGAGATTATCTGAGCTAGTCGCTCATTAGCTATCATGTCTTCGGATAGAAGGAAGAGTATGAACGCCTAATATTTACAGTAGGTACTTTTACACGTGAGAGAGAAACCCCTGTCAGTTGGCTGATCCCTCCAACAGCTGCTGCTTCTCTGCACACGGTCTGTTTCCTTATCAGGTGCATCTGCGACTCTCATTGGATGACTGACTAGACTTGAACATGAAATAAGCAAGCTATATGCTCATGTCAGATGTATCTCATAAAGACATGCAGTATCCGTTTTGCATTTGCAGGTACACCATCCTTGTGTGAGTGATTTATTCCGGAATTGGCCTCCATTTGGTCTACTTGTAGGCTTATCTCAGCTCCGTATTTGCTCTTATAATCTCACTCCACTTCATTCCAATGGCCGCTGGCCCATTCTCATTGACAATATTGTGGGCTGCTTCTATTACCATGCCGATAATGCACTTACAGGGATACTAGGCAAACAATTTGGCTGCCTAGCTTTTACTTGCCTCTTACGGCTAACAATCTCCAGAAAAGCTTTCGGGCGATCGGAGTTCATATGTTCTGGTTAAGCCCTGATTCTCAGTCCCTTTACCTGTGTAGATCCTGGTTGTGCTGAAAATTGTATCCAGTTGGAGTGGCCGAAGCGCTCAAATGACCTCTTAACTATACTCAATCCTGGTAATCTACAGTACTATATGCGAAGCTTAGCCGTGTCGTAAACTGAGCCCTATGTATTATGCAACTGAGCGACTGGTCACCTTGCCATGATTTCTAGTAAAGAGAAATTCCTCACGCTAGCTTGCTACCACGGAAAGGATTAAGGCTTGATTGTGTGCCTGATGTTCCTGACGAGGCTAACCAATGGTAGGGCTACTGATAAGGTTAGTTTGATGGCAGGATACGTAGACCGTGCCTCATTTGACAAGTCTGAAGATAAGCATTCTTCGGGGCAATGCCTCTAACGCTGTTATATCCAAATACGGTAACCACCTCGACACTAAGGTATCAAGATCACATCTTAAATATAGATAAATAGTGGCTGACTGCTATAACAGGTTCATCATGCCTTTGTGAAGACAAATCAGGTGGGTATAGCTTTGCTCCCGCCTGACTTCACATGGTTGTTTGGTCGGGAAAGGAAGATCTCCCGGCTGGTTCACACATCACCATGCTTGTTCTCCCATGTTAGCGCTTACATCAGACGGAATTGCGACAGAAGCAGCTAGATAGCAAGTCTAGGCTTTTGCGCTTTTGATTTCGGCAGCCTTGAAGATCATCTTTTGCCTATTTGAGGCTGTAAGACATCTATTATGCTATTTTAGCCAAGTAACCGTATCTAACGGATGGAAAAAGTGCATTTTGGGGTGAGATATCCTTTTTGTGTATGTTGAATAGTACTATTACTGGATATACAAAGTAACTTATTGTCAATGATAGCAGACATAATGAAAGTATTGCCATGCTGATCTAGGAAATGGAAGAGAAGACTCTCCAAGACATAATACAGAATACATACTCGATGGAGATAGATGTAATATGAACCTCGAGAAGCAAGAATACAAAGATAGAAGAGGAAGAAGAATGGAAATTTTATGGAATCCAGAGAGAGACCGGATGCTGGAATTGAGTCTAAGGCTGAAGACACAATGAGATATGGAATAAGAGTGCAGAACGTTTAACCATTGCAACCAGCAAATGGCCCTCCTCATGCAGAGAAAAGCCCAGAGGGAACCATCTTAGGCGCGCGTGCATGAAGTCGAACGTCAAGGGCCTTCAGCGACAAACGAGGATAGAAGTCGAAAGTGCACAGGGAGGGTCTTCCTCAGGCAGAAACAAATATCCGGGTATCGCGTTTCAGAGTGTCTTCTCGTCCATGGAATGGTTGTTGACTAACACAGCCCCTTCAGCCACAAATGCCATCTCCGTCCTAAAATGTAGCAGCCTAGTACAACAATAAGCAAGCAAATACGATTACGACATCCCGAAGGCTTAGCCACTTAAAATAGCGGGACCCGCGGGTCGCAGATGCCCCGCCATTGTTGATGCCTTCAATTTTGAGTCTTCCGTCGCCCTACGTCAGTCATCGCCATTTTCAGTTTACATATCCTGTTTCCTCTCTGCCTGTCAAGAATCACACATAAATATACCCGTCCCCCTCTATAGACCATTTCTTCCTCAATATACCCTCCTATCCCAACCTACCCACCGAATACCCTCACAATGTCACAACCACCCGCCAACACAAACAGCCACAAGATGTGGGATAAAACCAAGACCTACGGCAAAATGGGCTTCGACAAAGCCTGGGGCGCCCTCGACAAGCTAGGCGCCCCCGTCAACCGACTCAGCAACAAGCTGGGTTCCGAAGCCTTCTGGCCCATGACCCTCGATAAAGAAAGCGAAAAGGTCGCCCGTATTCTCCGCAGTTTCTGCAAAGATGGAGTCTACGTGGACGAGCCAGCCGCGGACACTGCGCCTCCTGTCAACAGCAACGAAGCATCATCATCAAAACAGAAAATTGACAAGCCGCGCGGAAAGCAAAAGGTGTTGAAAAAGATCCCCTCCGAGGTGATCCGGCAGGCAAAGGGAATAGTCGTGTTCACGGCCATGAGAACGGGCTTGTGGTTCAGTGGAGCTGGTGGCAGTGGCATTCTGATTGCCCGGGTACCGGAGACCGGGGAGTGGAGTG